TTACCATATTTTGTTTCTGTGTGCACATAAAATAATGTCAGCATCAAAAATTAAACCAGGATATTTGGAAAAGCTGCCTGACTCTGTTTAACAGCATTAGGGAAATACTTATAAAAATAAAATAAAATTTAATGGGAGGAGCTTTTATAATCTATAACTGGTTATTGATATAACTGAAATTAACACACAAAGTAAGGACATTTTCCTTTGGCCTGGTATTTCTTTGTGCTTCTTGCCAATAAATAAAGTTTAAGACTCTTCTCAAAACATATTTATTCGCTGAAGCCTTTGTTTAAGGGGATTGACTCAATTTGTTTGAACATGTTTTATTTTATTTTATTTTATTTTATTTTATCTTATTTTAATTTTATTTTTACTTTGCTTATGCTCTTTGCATATGTACAGCACTTTGTGAACTCTGGTTTTATGTTAAAGTGCTTTATAAATAAAGATGGTATGGTATAAATCATAATGTTATTTCCCCTTGAATGGAGCCACTGAGTTTAGTGTATGTGCCCATGAAAAACCTGCCAAATCTTCTCTGCAAATGCCTTACAGCATTGACTGGTTTTGAGCTTCTGGTTACCTTATTGGTGCTTGATCAAAAACAACTGTGAGCATGGACCCTGCTACAGTGGTTTGTTGAGGTTTAGTACTGTCTCCAAATTGAAGGCCAAGCTTTATAAAATGGTACCACATTTGTGGGCAGAGCAGCAGTCTGGGTGGTTGTAGCTCAGGAGGTAGAGCAGGTCAACTCCTAATTGAAAGTTAGGTGGTTCGATCCCTGGCTCCTCCAGTCTCTATGCCAAATATCCTCGGTAACATATTGACCTCAAGTTGCTCTCTGATGCATCCATCAGATGCAGTGCATGTTAGATTGAAAACACACATAGGAAAAAAAGTGCTTGTCTGGATGAGGGATGTTGTACATTATGAGGCACGAGTGCTTAGGTAGAGTACTGTCCATTCCACTCACCAGTTTTGTTTTTGTTTTGGTAAAAGCACTATCCAGTCCTTTTACCAAAAACAAAGAAATAATTGACCAAACACTAGTTTCTTCACTTTTTGTGCTAAGTTTATAAGCTAAGCGATCGCACTGAGACAAGTAACTGGCCTATCACATACATGGATGTTTTTAGTCGTTATGATGAATGTTTGTACACATTTTGTGAATAATCATTTCCCTGATATCCTCTGGCTTGTATGTCCCTTCTAGTTTATTTGCACCATGCCACAAAGTCGTACCTCCAGGACCATTTGTGACGTCATGTGTCTCTGACACTTGCAATCTTGGCACAAGCAGCTGCTGCAGTCTGGAGGCCTATGCCACTGAATGTTCTAATGAAGGAATCTGTATCGATTGGAGAAATGCTACCGATGGGCTCTGTGGTGAGATATAAATATTATATCCAGACAGTTGATAGTGTATAACACTACGGTTTTTGCAGCTCTGAACAATGTGCACATACTTCCATCTTTCAGAGCACAAGTGTCCGAGCAACAAAGTGTACATGCCCTGTGGTCCATCTGTAGAGCCTACATGCAATAACGGGTAGCGTAAACCATATCAGTGTGAAGAACCTTTGTTTGTTTAATGATCCTGATGAATTTAGTGATAGTAGGATTAATTCAATATTTTATTATTTTTAATCAAGATTAGCCCAATCTCTATTTTTGTAGGGTCTTTACTCTGAATTCATTTTCTCTCATCAGATACAACATGGCATACCAAACTGTGGCATCCAGCAACAACACTAAGGAAGGCTGTTTCTGTCCTCATGGCACCACATTATTCAACACAGTACATGACATATGTGTTGACACCTGTGGTAAGACTCTATACGAACACTATTTTGCTGGGTTTTGAAATATTTTTCTCCAGAACATCACCTGCTGTCTGTGCTTGCCTTTCAGCCTGTGTTGGACCTGATGGGAAACCCAAACAGGTGAGACCTCTGCTCTTATGTTCATGCATTCTTAACAATGGATAAGATGTGTGAATCTGAATCGGTGTGTTTCTTTTAAACAGCTGGGCGAGACTTGGACAAGTGACTGTCAAACCTGTGTTTGTGACGAGGTTTCCATGAGCGTCCAGTGTGAGCCTGTTCAGTGCCCGTCTGTGCAAAGTCCTAACTGCAGCAAGCCTGGCCAGCAACTGGTCAACAATACAGTGAACTGCTGCACAACACAGTCATGTGGTCAGTTTTAGTGTCTGTGAACTAGCTTTAAACACTGTCTTGCAGTTGATATCACACAAATGGATGACTGACACTGATGAAAATCGCCTTTCTGGGGACTAGTACTGTCTTTATGCTCAATTTTCATCTCAAAGTGCGTTTTTATTACAAGACTCGTTCAGTCAGTCACAGACATTATTCACACAACACTTTCATCCATCCCTCTGTGCTTTCTGACATTTACACACACACACACTCCATTGGATGCATCAGCGGCAACTTAGGATACTTGAATACTCAAACTAGAAGAGTAAGGTATCAATCCAACAACCTTCCGGTTTGTGGACAACCCGCTCCACCTTCTGAGCCTGATATGCCAGATAACACCTGGAGGTAGTCTCATGCCTGGCACATTCATAACGGAGTTATTTAGCTTAATGGAAAATATGCACATTTGCATTTCTGTTTGCTTTTCAGAGACAGCTTAGTTCTGTGTGATTGAAATCTCAGTCAGTGAAAATGAAAACGAAAACTCAAAATCACAGAAAAATCAAGATCGGTAGAGCTTGTGCCAGTGTACTTATGGTTGTTTAGAAAAAAAGACTACATTCACATTAATCTGTTGATTACAATGTTTTGGAACAAACATCAGATCTCAGGGACAACGATCACGCTGCTTTTCTGATATAGATGAATGTTCTAGGACTAAAAGCGTGTCGTATTATTTGATAAAAATGGAGATTATCAACCTACATAGGGCTTAATTCAAAGACACCCCAAAAATCAAAGTGAAACAAATATGTGGCAGGCTAGTCCATTTTGTAAAATTTCTTAGCAGCAACTCAAAATGGTTTTTAGTTGTTTGCACGGAGCCCATGTGCTTAAATCTGGCAATGTCAGATATATAGATGGTCTCCTGTGGGATCTGCTGGTGGACACCATGATGGGAAATGCCAAGCACTTAACGGTGCAGGGTAGTGGATCACCCACTGTGTCCTGGGGACTCCTCCCAGGTCTGTATTAGGGTATAACTGAGTTCTTCAGTCTAAAGTGCAACCTGGTGTTGGATGGACCAAAGCGTAATGTTGTAGAGGTGTTATATGGGACTTAGTCAGGTAATCCTGGAAGCCATTCGATGATATTTATCCTTGAGGAACTATCTGCATCCACATGAGCCTGTTCATCGTTGTGCACCAGCGTCTGATAATAGATCCAAGGATTTCATCCCAATGCTAGTCCGGCAGTCCGGGTGTCATCACCCCCATAAGTCTTGAGTAGAAGATCCCGGTCCTACTCGTGGGTTAAGGACCTTCGATGGCCCTGTCCAGCCCTTCACCTGTGCTGGAATACACCAACCTTCTGGCAATGGCACATATGAGTATTTGTGGACCTCACAGTACCAAGGTACTGTACTAAGGTCACAGTACTAAGGTCAATACAGGTCAATACAGTCCTTCACTCTCAGACTGCTGGCCTACTTGTTGTTCGTAAGATATTTAAAAGTTAAGTGGAAGGCATACACTTTCATACACCACGTTAATCATTAGTTATTATTAATCTTTGGGTCTCTTGTACAGCTTGTGTTTGGTCCTGTCTTTCTCCTCTCACCCGCAACTAGTCACAGCAGATATAAGCCTTTCCCTGAGCCTGGTTCTTCTTCCTGTTAAAAGGAAGTTTTTCCTCCCCACTGTCAGCAAAGTGCTTGCTCATAGGGGTTATCTGACTGTTGGGGTAAGACCAGCAATATTGTAAAGTCTTAACCTTGCAACATAAAGTGCCCTGGGCCAACTGTTTTTGTGTTTTGGAGCTATATAAATAAAATGTAATTTCATTTCATTGAATTAAATTAAAAGAGAGCAAAGTCCCTTCCCAACTTGTACTAAATCATGTAAACATACATAATTGCTTTCCTGGTTCTTCAAGTTATTGTTATCAAATGGAAAGTTGTGCAAATCTTTATCATCACATTCTGACAAGTTCTCCTTCCTTTTGCAACAGAATGCAACGTAAAGCTGTGTCCTGCTCCTCCCACGTGCTCGCCGGGCTTCCAGCTGAGCATCACCAATGGCACCTGTTGTCTATCCTACAACTGTGGTATGTCACTCTAATCCACCAGTCTGTCCTATCTGCTGTTGAACACGATATAATAATCTGAAGAAACCTAATTATGATACTAAAGAATTCCTACTTGTGTGTTAAAGCAAGAATGACCCTGATAAGGAAGTGAATGAATAAATGGGTGGAGTCTAGTACAATGTAAACTATAACAGATCATCAATGCATATGTGTGAATGTTAACTAAACCCATGTCTCTTTGTGTCTGCAGTTCCTAAAGGTGTATGTGTCTATAACATGATTGAATGCAAGGTAAGCACACAGTTCAAACAATAAGTGGTTTTCCCTAATACATCAAACAAGGACCATCTGTTGTCCTGAATTATACACAGGACATATGGATATGTTTGTATGATTTACATCAGTATATTCAACTTTTTAAACTGTGCCTGACTGAAAACTGAATGAAGCCCAGCTGTAAAGTTACAACAGTGAAGATAGTGTGAGGCACTTTCGCTGGAATGTGTGTATCCAGATGGATGGTTAGGTCTTCATTTCAATCGCAGCTATTGGAAAACAAAAAGTAAATCAGTCACATTTGTAGACAATACTTCACATAGTGTCACAGCTGAACACAGCAAGTAGCTTTAACGTGTATTCAGCCCATGCAGTTCAGAGTAATAGTGCAGTAATGTGCAGGTAGAAATAAACAGCAGCACAGAGACCGCAGGAAGTGCTTATAGCTTGAGTTGATTTTACCGCACTTGTGGTGATGAAATCACCAGTCTCTCTTGTCCTACTTGTTGGAAAGGTGTTATATTTTAATGTCAATTTTTATGTTCTTTATAGATCTGTATTACTCACTTCACTGATACGATCTTTGATTGGACTAGTTTGCTCAGTTGACATGTAAAACACCCCCTTATATATGTTATCTTTGACTGGTGGTTTAGATTTTGTCAAGCCAGCTAACTCTTTCTGTGCTGAACTTTGTTTCATACTCATCATTACGATAAGGCTTACAATAAATATGTATGATAAGTATGAAATATTCCTTGAAGCAATTAATATAATATATAACATACAATTCTTTAGCCTGGTACCAAGATCCCAACGCCAGACACATCAGAACCGCCGCTGGAAGCACCAGAAGCACAATCAATGACAGAACAAGCATCAGTGACAACAAAACCATCAGGAGCAACAACGTCAGCGTCGTTTACGCCCGGGCCCTGCGAGGAATGTTACTGTAGCTCCAAAATAGATCCTGTCACCAAGCTGAACATCATTATCTGCAATCCTGTCGTCTGCAACAAAAACTGTTCTGCTGTAAGCTCATTCACATGCCAACATGACACATTCATTACTATCATAAAGAGGAATCATCACTCCACACTTCACACCAGCCAGCCTGAGCAAATCGCAGTATAAGGTCCAGAACAGCACCAACAAACTAGAAGCACAGATGTGAATTGAAATGAACAGCTTTGTGAAACTTGGTTAAAAACAAAACAAAACACTGAAGCAGAGCTTTTCTTATTTTCTGCAGTAGAAAATAATGTTCATTGCTGAAACGGTATTGCTATGTTACATTAAACACAACTGTAGCTTCACATAATGTATGAACACGCACTCCTTCAGACTGCTCTAAACAGCATTTCTGCTATTTTTTTTAGTAGTAGCTCACTATGATGTCACTGAGGTTGATATCACTAATATCACTCAGGTGTTACTGGGAACATAGAAACACCACCCGTCTGTTGTTCAAATGTTTCTTAATGAGGTGGAGCCATCCAATAGAAAGTTGGCCTTTATACCTTTAAGGTGAAGAATTAAAAGTACATGTTTCAGATAATGAACTAAGGATAAATGTTAT